TTTTTTAAAAAAAGGTTGAATAAAATATTAAATTGTTTTGTAAATCTTCACTTAAATCACAATAAAAATAATTTAAATTGCAAAAAAGTAATTCTAACGTGGTTATTTAGAGGAAAATATTGTGTTTTGTTCAAGTGAATACAGTATTTTATCCTGGAATCCAGTATGATATTACAAGGCCTACATTTTCTAACCTATCTCCCCTAAAAAGTTATAAAGTTATATAGCTGCATTATATTAGTGAAAAACATTGGTATTGGTAAACTGGTGCTTATCAAGCGGGAATGGTAATAAATCTAAAATGTTCAAGGGATAAACCTGGTCATTTTGTTTTGAAAAGAATGCAATGCTTTGATCTTTTCTTGGTTGATTTGTTTGCTATGCTCCACCTCTAGGAGTAGGGCAGCTTTATCTATTATTTGCCATCCTTTACTCCCACCACATCCACATATTCCTTCCATCCAGGTCAGGAATTTGATGCATGTGTTGAGCAGCTGAGAAAACATCAGATTTTTATGGACCGCAAAACGAATTTTTTACATATCATAAAATTTTATTTTGTCCTCATTTACTTCCTAAGAAAACCTTGGCTCTGAAAGTTAAAATTTTTTTAAAGTTTTAAAACATCCTATCTAAACAGTACACTTTCTCTAAATGCTAGGGTCCCAGAGAGCTTAATTTACAAAGTGCTTGGCAACAGATTTCCCCATGTGAGTGTTTCAGCTTAGATACTTGGAAAGGTCAAAGAGCGTGAGAAAGTTAAAGTAACTTAGGACAAATTATCTTACAAGTTCGCCAGAAAGAAGAAAGGTGTGTTTATTCATCACTCTTGTAACCAGTGATTATTACTTTGTAAGAGAATAAACCAGAGGGGCTGCATCTTATTCTTATTATGAGACACAGCGCCTGACTAGCTGGGCTCCTTAAAGTGCCTTTTCAGTTCTGCCACCTGTTGAAATTTGGCTATGTTCTTTAACCCCTCTGGATATAAGTTTATTCATCTGAAAACCAGAGTTAATCATAATAACTGTGTGGAAAATTCATGGCACACATTAAATATTATTATTATTATTATTATTATTATTATTATTATTATTTAAACAACAACATTATTACATAAAGCCACATAGAGTGGTACCTGCCAGACAGAAGGCTAAGATTCATTCAAAACCTGTGTGGTCTCTTCTCCATGCTCTATGCCTTTCTGACGCTTTGGGGAAATTCAGAGGCCATCTTAGATAGGAGTCAGACAGATAAAGAAAGAGTAGCAGAGAGTAAGCTTGATTTTGGCTGCTTCTTCCCACTTTTTTTCTCCATAGGAAATCAAGAGATTAACTCTCCTTTAAAACCCCACTTACCTTCCAACTCACAGTTGTCAACTTGCCCTACCTTGACTCTCTCCTTTCTCTGAGAATTACCACCTCTCATCACCATCTCTATGGCATGATCTAGAACTCTGTCTCTCTGATTGGGGGAATAAAAAGAAGGGGCATCTGTGAATGCAAAGATCTAGTGGCCGATGTTGCTCTTTGCATATTGCAAAGTAATGTTTGTGGATAATAGCAGCCCCATTCTTGTTCCAGATTTAGGCAGAGAAGCAAGACTGCTCTGGTTTACATTAAACTCATTATTTCCTTCCACACATAAAATATTCACAACACAATAGACAGAAGCAGTAACTGGAAAAAATTACCATGGGCCTCAAAGAAGATACATTTCCCCAGATTCCCATCCCCTTAGTGCTCTCTCTCTCTCTCTCACTCATTCCCTCTCAACACCTTCAAACCCTGCCAGAAGCATCAGAGTGCTCCACTGCATGTAAAAAGACAGCACAGAAATCATGCATTATGTCACGTATTGCTCCGATTCAAGAATATCAAGCTGGCCCCTCTAACCACTGTACTCAAATGTGAGCTAGCTTGTAACGTGGGGTGAGGACAAAAGCTGGAGAGCTACTGCCATACCAGGTCCAGCCCATCATGGCAGAGCCTGAGTCGAGACCACGCAACAAGCATGAGAAAGGCAGCTCTCTTCAAAACAGAGCAACTCAGCTGTGGTCTTAGGTGCTATAACCATAAGGAAGGTCAGGCTAAGATCAACAACATTCTCTAATCAGATAAATGGGAGCAAAAATTCCAAGTGCGTTATTTCACTTGAGCATCCTCCACTGTAAAAGGTGAATTCTGGTAACAGATGTCCAAGATTATTGTGAGGACTAAATAAAGTCCCTAGGAAGGGCTGACCTTCAACTTAGCTGTGTAGCTTGGCCCAGGTCTCAATTTTTCCAACTCCCCTCTTCATCCACGAGAGGGAGCCTATCAACCAAGAACGCCTAGTCAGTATTAGTTCTACTTAACCTCCCCCAATGTTGCAGACTCAGCTGCTAAACTCCCACTCTGCCTGCCCTAACTTACATAGGCAGCCTTCTTTCTCACCCACTCCTACCAAATCCAGAACAGGCCTAGCAGGGAAGTCAAGTGCAGCAGCACTGGTGGTAGCAATGTCTACTGTATCAACAAGGTCTTTACAATGTATCGCCAGAAGAGGGAGTCAAAGGAGGGAAACACTATTTTCTTCCCACCCCTACCAAATCCCTGCACTGATTCCAGAGTCATCTCCTGCTAAAAGTCTCTAGATAGTTCATGAAGGCTCTTTTGGCCTCTTCAATGTCTTTCTAGGTCCTAAGATCAAGAAATCCCTGTGGATCAGAAAGCTCTAGTGGAAAATATCAGACCTTGGAGACAAACGGACTTGGGTTCTAGTGCTAGTTCCATTTAGTAATTAGTTGCATAAGCTTGAACATATTTCATCTTGAAGCCTTAGTTTCTCCATCTCTAAAATGGAGTTGATTATGCTTGCTGCACAGGGCCTGCTGTGAAGGCCAAAAGAGCTAAGGCATAGATATACCAATATTTCTTAATATGTGGTTGGGAGAAATGCCGTATATAAGGTAAACCCCCATGTTTCCAGGATGAAACATGAAGAAAATCCAACAACCTGGGAGGTGCACAAAAGGAGAGAAGAGCCAAGAAACAGGATTGCATGGATGGCAGAAGCACAAGACTCAAGGGCAAATAGGCTTCCAGCCATCCCAGAGATCAGACCTACACACAAAAGGAGAATCTAAGGATAACAGAATTTTGGATCTAGGAAAACCCAGGTCATTTCATTTTATTTTATACCTGATTTAAGAATTATGCTTTCTCTAGCTCTTCCAGAGCCCCCAACCTGGTCACTGATGGACATGTCTAGTTAACCCCACCTTCACCACTTAAGGTAGTCCACCAGACAGTTAGATTGGAACAATTTTTATCTCTAAAATTTCCCTTTGCCTCTGGTTCTGCCTTCTGGAGCCCTAAAGCATGAAGTTGCTTTCTATATGAAAGGTCTTACTTCTCTAGAAAAGTTTTCTGCAGTCAGGCTAAGGATCACATTGCCTCTTCCAATATTCTTCTGCCCCTATCCCATCATGGCTTTCTTCTGAATGGGGCTTTGTCAATCTGAATCCCTCATCCAGTGTGGTATCCCAAACTGCATACAGTCCTCTAGGGATAGTCTCTTAGCATCATTACCTGGACAAGTAAGCCTGTCCCTTTCATCTCTAGACTACTGTGAGGCAGCCCATACCAACACCCAACTAAGGGTTCGCTGCAGTGGAACACAGCTCCATTCCTCAAGCTGCAGCTGCCCCTCCTAGGGCCCAGACATCTCAGCCCCTCAGTACCTCAGCTTGCTGCCTCACCATGGGGGAGTTGCAGAAAGCTGTCTCCCAGCATATTTCCTGAAGCAGAAGGTTTCCCCACCCCCAGCCCAGCCTCCAAAGAGACACTTCACTGGTTCTGGCACATGGGAGGACCAGCTGAGCTGTGAGGTGGGGAGTGGGGCGATATGTGGGGGGGGGGGCTGCCCATTCGCTAAAAGATTTCATACTTGCTCTGTGGTATGGCTGGATTAATCAGTCACAGAACCATCAAATCTAAACTGGAGGGGCTCTTAAGGAGCATCCTTTGCCTCTTAAAAAGATATGGAGGAAATGAAGGGCTGAGAGAGGAAGGGATTCAGTCAAGGTCACAAGGCTAATCTGAAGCAGGTCAACAGGAAGGGGAACCAAGGTCTCCAAACTCCCAACTCAATCTTCTTTCCAATATGGCAGAAAATAAATAAGGCAGACTTTAGGGAAACCCTTTGAGCTGGTGCTCTTGACTTTCTCAGTTCATGATGGTATCTATGTGGGGAAAAGTGGCACCAGCCCCATATAATCCACTAAGCCAAAGATATTATCAAGGTATCCTAAACAGACACACAGCACATAAACTGAAAAGGTTTCAACAAGAGGAACGATCTGTAGACTTCTCTTTCTGGTACAGATCTTTAATTGGTGGTGGTGGTTTTTTAAGGGTAGAGTGGGGGTTGACTTTGAAGAACTAGACAACCACCTGGCCTCCATCTTTGCTCCCCTATCTTTGATCCTTTGAGCCAGGATGTGCTGCAGTTTCTCTTAGAAGATTCAGTCTCCAGCAGCCATTCTGGTCCCCACTTGCCTCTCTGGGAAAGGATGGAGCTGTAGCTGCCAGGAGATGAGATCAGGCCTGCACTCAAATCCTTCAATGGAAACCTAAACCAACAAAAAAAAAAGGGGGGTCCCTCCCTTTGGGGTCCCTGAGATGACAATAAAATTCCCACCCGGTACATCCAAAATAAATAAATAAAAGGAAAGCCATCCTCTGACAAGGGCTGAAGGTTGGGGGTAGATAGTGACTGCTCTTAGTCCCTCGCTGGACTTGGCTTTAGGAAAGGTAAGACACCTGCACTCATCTGGTCATCCCAGTATGTAATGGCTAGGGAAGGAATGTCATCCAGTGTCTCTGCATGATTTAAGATAGCGTGAGCGAGGGAGATAAGGAAATAAAATCAGGCACAGGCTTCTTACTTTATCAACTGGACAAGTTGGAGATGAATCTAAAGGAAAGGGGGAAGAGGTACAAACACACGTTCCTTACTTTCTCTGGAGTGTTGTGGCGGGACTGGTGCTGGTACTGGTGCTGTGGCCTCCACCAGCACCAGGACTTGAGCTCCTGGATGCGCCACGACTCAGCTGACCCCGCTCCCGTGGTGGCCGCGACCCTATGCCTACTGCAGCCGAATAGTTGGCTTCCTTCTCACGGCCAGGGTGCGCTGGCCCGGCATCCCGCCCTCCACGCTCGCGACCTAGGACTGGATTTTCTTGGTGCAGGTGGCACTGGGCCATGTCGTGCTCACGGGGTGGGAAGGTACTGTCCTGGAGTGGGTAGGAAGCGTCCCGGTTCTGGTAGGCTCCATCCCGGTTTGGGTAACCCACGTCCCGAGCCACCTGGTGGAACTGGATCTCCCGTAGCTCTCGGTGGTGGAACTGCGTCTCACGCAGGTTCTGATACTGGCTTTCGCGGTTGGGGCTATCCCGAGCACTAAGGGGATCCCTGTGCAGCTCCCCGCGGTGCAGCTGGCTCTCTTCCCTCAGGTCGCGATTCTCTTGAGTGAGCTGGTCTAGCTGGCCTTCCAGCTCTTCAATGCGCCGTCGCTGGGTCTCTAGTAACTGCTGTTGGCTCTCTATAATGTTGTTCAGCTCCAGCAGGTATTCCACTGCTCTGTTCGGGCTCTCGGATCCTGGGCCTCCCGGGGGCCCTGACCCCGCCTCCATCCTGGCAGCCCAGGGACAGGGGAAAGGGCAGGAAAGCCCGGTCCCCACTTGCTCACGGCGCCACCCTCCCCCGGGCCCAGCCGGGGGAGGGGGCCGGTGGGATGCGAGGGCGCGCACCGGGCTCGAGGGCCCGGGGGCCCTAGGGGGCCCAGGAGACAGCGCTAGGGCCGGTAGCACGGGAACCAGGAGCTGAAGCTGATGCTGCTGCTGCCGCCGCAACCACCACCACTACTGCCGCCAAAGCCACCACCACTGCCGCCACCCACCACCAAGGCTCGGCGGACAATCACGGCCCACAGTGCTCCGCCCGCTGCGGAGTCACTGCGCAGCGCGGCCGCGCGGGACCGCCCCGGCCACCGGCCCGCCTCCTGCTCCTACCCCCACTCGATTTGCCTAGCCCATTCGCAAGCATCCCACCAGACGCCTCCACCCACATCCTTAGCCTGAAGCCTTTTGTAGATCTCACCTCCACCGGTTCCAGGGTACTCACCTAAATACAGCTTTCTTTCCTAGCACACTCCAAGTCATCCCTGAAATCCCCATTTTAGGCAGCTCCAGGTCCAGGCCACTCACAGACTCCTCATCTCAATCACTAGGTCTGCTGATCCCAATTCAAATTACAGGCAACCCTTGGTTTTCCTATCTCAGGCTACTAACCTACCTCCTATCCAACTGAATCCCTCCAACCCGGCAAGTCTGTACCTCCCTCGTCCAAGGAAGTCATTACAGCCACAATCCCAAGTCCAGGATTCCTCATTTTATTCAATCCTTAGATCTTTCATCTCTGGCCTTCCCAGAATGCCCCACTGTTAGATAAAAAAAGAGTTGAGAGAGAAAGAAGCAGGAGAGAGAAAGAAGCTGGTCCCAAGAAATGAACAGGCCTTTATTGCATGGTCTGAGAGGGATGCCAAGTGATGAAAAGTGGATTTGATGGAAGGGCAGTTAAAAGTGGTTTCTTTTTATAGGGGCTCTAGGGAAGACTAAGGAAGATGGTATTTTTCTTGGAATTTGGGGCTGTTGTGGTTTGGGTTTGGGCTTTTGTGATCAGGTCCAGAGCTTTATCAGAATCCACTGTCTGGTATGGTCTTTTGTCTGGTTTCTGGTCCGGTCTCTGTTCTGGTAGGCTTAAATGTCTCTGTTCTGGTAGGCTTCTCAAGGAGAGATCAGACATAGGGGCAACTGCTACATTCTTCCTGCATTGCAGACCCTAACGAACATAACACATAACGGTTAGGAGCAAAGTTATCTCTAGGTACTTCCCTTCTGAATTGGGACTACAATTGGGTGGTGGGTGTTTGTTTCCTTTAAGGTCTGAAGGAGGAGTTTCATTTTCATATGTGTTCTTGGTTTGTGAGACAGCAGTGAAATGGTTTATTAAAAATTTCTGAAAAAGAGTTTTAAAACCGTGCAAGAGTTATAAAAAAGAAGAATGATTAGAAAGGGAGTTAGGATGTGGAGTAGCCAAGGGGGAATTGCTGATTGTCACTAAGTTCCTGACTGTAGTTTGCAGAAACAATAGGGGTGTTTTTTTTTGTTTTGTTTTGTTTTGTAACAAGCAGAGACTACCTTTTTATATAGTTAATAGGTTAAGTTTTTTGTTTTGTACTACAACTGCCATGAGGGAGTTAATTTGGTCTTGCAATATAATGTAATGACTTTTGGAAAGTTTTTGAGAGATGCTGGAATTTTCTAAGGAGATGTCTAGGCCTGCAGTGTTAGTAGTAGCTCTTGGCTGGATAATAAAGGGAGGAGCTTTAGTATGATTTGTTCATGTTTGAGGTGCTGAGTTAGAAGGCTAGGTATTAGTTTGGAGTTGGCTTGGTTTGCAGGCTGGAGTAGACATTGTTTCCATAGGCAAAGAAGAAACCACTTCCTGCTTTCAGACATCGCCAAAAGTTGACTCTGAAGAGAAGCAGAACCCAGTCTCCTTTCACTTCTTTGTATGACCTGAAAGATACAGCTAAATATGCAAGCATTAGAAGTTGAAGAGAGATTTTTGGTGGAAGGTATTGGTTTCTCTAAGGCCAGTCTCTTTGTTGAAGAGACGAATAGACAAGACAGTTTGTTACAGCACAGAATGCCAATCTTGATGTTGCAGAGAGTTTCTATTAAGTGATGTCTGGACATCTTGAGCTGAAGGCAGAGTGAGTTTGTGTTGGGTTTGGTGATGTTAGGTTGGGTAAGAGTTTAGCATAGGTGAGGATGATGGAAGCTTTCTATAGGTTTTGGTTTTTTGGTAGTTGTGGAGTATGAGTTGGTTAGAAAGGGGGAAGGGATTAGGACAAGAAATTTGTCAGAGGGGTATGACTTTAGAAGAATTTTTCAAGGAAGAAAAGGTTGTCTGGACAGACATAGATGGGGTAGGGAGGTGTGGTTTGCATCAGAGGTATGTGGCTTAGGACAATAGGTCTGATGATGGGGACTTGAGGAGGAGTGGATGTTTTGTTTTAATTATGTTGTTGTTGTTGTTGTTGTTGTTGTTGTTACGTGCAGTCGAGTTGCCTTCAACTCATACTGACCCTATGTACAACAGCCTTATCCTGTGCCAATCTCACCATCAACAACACATCCACCCCTATTACGCCAGTCACTGAATCAATCCATCTCATCGAGGGTCTTCCTCTCCTGCACTTTCCCTCCACCCTCCCTAGCATGACGTCCCTCTCCAAGACTGGTTCCTCCTTGCAACATGTCCAAAGTATGTCAGATGAAGTTTCAAAATCCCTGCCTCCAAGGAGCAGCCTGGCTTCACCCTCACCGGGACAAATCTGTTTGTTTTCCTAGCAGTCCAGGGTATATTAAATACTCTTCTCCAACACTACAGCTCAAAAGCATCAATTCTCCTTCTATCATCCTTAGCCATTGTCCAGCTCTCTGATGAATAGCAAGTGATTGCAAAGACCATGGCATGTATCAGGTGCATCTTAGTCTCCGGACTGACATCCTTGCACTTCAACACTTTAGAAAAGTCTCTAACCACAGACTTTCCCATCTATATTTGAAGAATTATTTGAATTAAGTCTTTACACAATGGAATTGGGGTTTTTTGGGGGGCGTTATTATTTTTAGTGTATATTTTAAGTGCACTTGGTCAGGTTTAAACATGCTATGATTACTACAGATCTATGTAACATTTTTAAACTTTTATATAAATTTATGACATGCTTTAAATGATAACTTCTGTATGAGTTTGAAAAACAGATATCATATGCTGACAATTTGGATATTGTTGAGGAACGGCTCTAATATACAACAGGGTACTCAGAAATAGGGTAATTTTTATTAGACTAGGTTTGCTAGAACAACTTAGCTAAAATCCTTTTCTTAATTATATTGACTGGTTCTTAGTGCTTAAAGGAAGAGAGTCAGAGTGGAGAGATGTAGTAACTATATCATTTAATATTGAGAGATAGTTAGACTTTGGGGTACTTAGGTTATTAGAGTGTAGAGATTAGGTAGTACTGGATGCAGTACTATTGATAGGTTCTAAGTTTTGGATTAATTTTTGCTTATTATTTGGGTTTTGGGCTCATAAGAAGAGAGTATTATAAGGAGATGGCATGTTTATATAATGGAATTCTACATATTACTGAAAAATAGTGAACTTATAAAACATTATACAACATGGGAAACTTGGAGGACATTATGCTGAGTGAAATATTCTAGTTACAAAAGGATAAATGCTAAATAGTATTACTGTTATAAAGCAAGTCTGACAGGGGAGGTTGGGTGAACAGGACAAGAGTGGAGAGACAACGACCATTACATTGGAACAGATAAAGGAAAGAACTATTTAGAAGGAATGCATGATTAGGCACTCTATGTAGAATAACAGCTCAGAATAAGAGGTACATAAAGATGGCTGGGAGGAGGAAGGTAACTGTACAGGTTTTTCTAAAAATCTGCAATAGTAAATTGGCAGAAGGTTACTAAAAATCCTAAGACAAAATGACTCAAGTAAATTCTTTTTACTGGTAATGTCCATGCATACTCAAGGCTTCTCTAGGCTTATAATGATGCTATCCATGCTGGTCACTTGTAACACCCCTGAGGCAGCTAGGGCACTGTCAGTCTGATTGCTATCAAGACTGGCTTGGGGCATTGCTGAGCCAGGTGTTTATGAGGATTGCATTTAAAGCAAGTGGCAAGAGGTTTCCCTTCTGCCCCTTTACTCTCTCATAGCATCTTTTGATATTTATGAATGTGATGGTGACTAGGCTTTCCACACTGAAAGTTAAAGTCTTTAAATTGGAGGCTTTGAACATGTTTCTGGATGAAAAGGTTTTCAATATTCTGCGATAGCAGTTGTAAGAAATTTGGCTTTTAGCTAGTCCTTCTTTTTCTTTTCCAGGCTGCTATTGTTGAACACTGAAATAGCAACATTTAAAAAAAATAGTTTGAGTTACTTTGGTGGTCTAAAGTTTTTTTCCTCAGGATTTTATTTTAATAGCAGGGACAGACTGATTGATAGAATGAGAATTTATTACTACTCTTTCTCTAGAAGACTTAGGGTCTAAGTTAGTGAATTTTAAGTTGCAGGGTTGTCATTATTTGTATTATTTGTGCTAATTTAGAGTAGTTTACTAAATCTGCCTGAATATCTTTTTTTTAATGAGACAGGTTTGTGTATAATTTCTAGCAGCTATTTTTAGGTCCAATTCTTTGTTTTCATTTATAATTGTAAAATATATAGAATGCATGAGCTTCAACTATTGCTATATTAAACTTAAAACAAAAAGGGAAAGATAAATTTGGAAACACTTTTTTCATTCTGAACTCTGGATGAAAATCTAAAGTGGGTAGGAAATGCTTTAAGGAAAAAAAGAAACAAAATAAAATTCTTAAACCTATTTTAATAAAGCAAAAAAATTTTAAATTATTTTTTACTGAGAGGAAGCATTAGCTTATCAGTACAGAGAATGAATTAGAAAAACAGAAGAAATTATAATATTTAAGACTTTTTTTACTTTACTGTGTTTTAGAATTTACCTTGAAAGGAT